TACAACTTAGCTTAGCCACCAGAAACTACAAAGCACTTCAAATGCTGAATGAATCTCTGTTCTTGTTTTCGCGAAGTGACAACCATGTGTCTGCAGTTTCTCTAATGGCCACTGAATGCTGGCCTCTCAAATGTGACGATTTTTTGCCCGCTTTTCCTTGTCCTACAAAACAAGCAATCTTTATTCTGAATGCCCAACAAAATTACACAGCAGACAGAAAAGCACCACTTACCCATTATGCCTCTAATGAAAAATACTAGTCACACATGACTGTGAATCGACCACAGTGAGAATGTCATTTTATCATTTTCCTGAATCTCTGTTACGACAAGGTCAGTTAAAGGTCAGTTAAAGGTCAGTTAAACTGTGCTTTCCTCATATATCCTTTGAGCGCATGGCGTGCTGCTTTTGTACTTGTGCTTTTAGAGTCTTTATTTTGACTTTTATTTCACACGTCATACCTGCATCACACCTCCATTATTTTTATTTATGTTTAGCAGAGCCAACATAAACACACCTGAGAAATTTGTATTTTAGTGTTACAGTGTACCCTGGATTCATGATTAATTTGGACAAGGTAGAATTTAAAAAAAGCTTCAAAAATTGGCACCATTTACAGAAAAAAAGGATTTGATGTTCACTTACTTTTTATTCCCTCGTTTCTTTCATGAACTTGTCACTCTCCCTGCTGTTAGCAAGAGATTTAATTAATTTAAGTGATGAAGCTTTTCTGGCAGGCAGGCTGGAGCTTTGTACTTGACAGGATGCACCAAAACATGATACAAGACTCAAATTTCTCTTTTTTAACTTGCCTTTTCTTTGTCAAAACCTATGGATTTGTCCGTTATAGGTATGTTGTAGCCAGATTTTTGTCTTAAAACAAACAACTGATCTATCTTGTTATCTATTACCAGGCAAACCCCTTTAAGCCCTGCATATTATCACAGAACATTTTTTTGCCATACCATAAGACAGGTCATGAAGTGGAGTATCACCTCTGGACCTCTTTAAATGAGAAATGTGTTGTTTGGCCACAACAACTCACTTAGAAAATAAGTCCTTCTCTCCATATTATTTTCTTCCAGCAAGGGAGCTTCTGGGTATACCACTCTGTGTATCAGATAGCAATGGCCCCTGTTGAAAGGTGAGGACAGAATATTGTGTTTTGGAGAACAGCGTCACTGCCTTTGGCCTCTGCCTCATTCTACCACAACATCTTCTGGGAATGGGCCGAGCTCGGGCGCTTGTTTACTTGCTCTTTGATTTTCCTGTGCAGGCCAAATCCATTGAATCACACAATAACCTAAGAATATGAATGCTAGACTATTGATTGAACACACGGCCTCTGACCAAGTAATATCATTGTGTGTCAGCTCTTTCTTTGTGATATCTTTATTTTATCACCTTGACTCTCCTCCTCTCCACACTTCAAATCCTGACTCAAATCAGATTAACGCGGTCAGTCTGAGGTGAATAAATTATGTGATCAACGTAATCAACATCAAGTGTCCATTTAGTCTGTGTGTGTGTGTGTATGTACTGATACATCTATCTTTGTGAGTACCAATTAAAATTTAGGACCTTATGTGTGAGGATATTTTTGGACAGTGATGACATGTTGGCCGGCCCACCCTTTCAGGCAGACGTTCAAAGGACTGTTTGAGGTTTAGGTTTGGGTTAGGGTGAGGCATGTGAAGGGTAAGTTCGGTTAAGGCGATACGGAATGCAAATATGTCAATGAGGGTCCTCACAAGTATAGAAATACCAGTGTTTGTGTGTGTGTGTGTGTGTGTGTGTGTGTGTGTGTGTGTGTGTGTGTGTGTGTCTCCACGTGTGTGCATGTGTGGCAATATGCATGCTCTGAGTAATGGGCTTTGTGCATCCTCTTTTGCTGATGGCCAGGATGTATCCATGGCAACACCAGGTCGATCCTAGCTGTGAGCTGGTGAGAGGGACTTGAAAGGGAGCGTTAAACCTCTCTTCTCATCTGCCCTGCGCTCTTCTCGCTCTGACCATGGTGAAATGCGTGGCCTTGTTGAAATCCCAGACCTACGGCTATATACTTTAGCTGTGACCGTGGACACTCACATCACAACACTGCCACCTTTTGACCTGATGCGAAAATGTACCCTTAAAACATTGTCATGTTATTCTTTATTCCCTGTTTTCTCTGTGAGTTCAGGGTTCTTATCTGTGGAGACAAACAAATCTTTTTTCCTGAAAGCTAGAAGCACCAGTACATTTTGACATTTGTTGCATTTTAGGCCTCTTTTTTTTTGAGAGTTCACAGTAGTGACATGACAGGAAATGAGGGGAGAAGGAGATTTGGCACATGAAACAAAGCTCCCCTGCCAGATTTTAATCAGAGACCAGTTAATGGTCAGCATCTTAAGCCCCTAGGCCAGAATTTACAGAGCGCTGGAGCTGTTTTTTGATTTTATAGGAGTGAAGTCACATTTCTGGTTCAAAAGGTGTTATGGTAAAATGTGCTTTACAGGACAATTTGCTGTTGATTTTAAAGCCCAAAGCTGTCGTTTGTGAGTCTGCAAAATCAATAGCTGTTTCGTTGTCTGTAATTTAAAGCTTTTTTCACCCTTATTTCTGCTTTAGTAAGTTTAATTGTGTTGTACAACAGTGGCAACTCCTTCTTTAAAGTCAAAACATGAAGTTAAGAAAGAAATATAATGATTCTGTTTAGCATATAGAACAATATTTATATAAAAATAGGTAGTGTAACATACAAAAGACAGATAGAAAGTACTTTTTGTCATGTTGTCATTGTCAAAACGTTGCCTTTCAAATCCTTTGATGCTTGGTCATGGCAGTTTCAGCACTTAGGAGCCACTGCAGGATTAGATGTGCTGCTGTTGCCCCCTAGTGGATATCAACACAAATGCTGAGGCAATGTGAACATGATTTAAAAGCAATGAGTAATGACAGGGAAGGGATGAAAAGACAGAAAAGGAAAGATAAATGTGGGAGAATGGAGCAAGACAATCATGTTTGGTTTTGGATTTATCTCTTCTGGAGAAGAACATAGGTGCCAAAACAAACACTGATTTATCGCAACCCTGTGTGCTTTAATAAATCTGCACTGACAATGTAATTAAGATATTTTGGCACAAAGTACATGAACCTAATCATTTGACTTTATTCAGAGAGTCACTGAACTGCTCTGCACAATTTAATTTCCTCCACAGCAGTTTCATAACTTGCCATCTTGAGCCAAATCCAAGATGTATGTGAATATTCATGTTGTAATACCTCTCAGAAAGCCTATAGGGGCTGGAGCTGGGGGAGCTCTATGACCTTCTTGTTAGGCCAGGCTGGATGCCGGAGGCTATCTAGTGATCACTAATACATATTCAAGAACCAGAGGCTATCAGGCGCTGATGGTAAGCAGGCTCCAAGATAGGGACGGATCAAGGCCGAGCCAAAACCCTTTTATTTGCTCTCTTATCATCAGCAGTTTTTTTCTGTGATGGATAATCTTCACAGCTGCAGCTAAACACATATTGACCAAGTCTGCTGCCTTTCACACCCTCTCACTTGATTTTTAAGTTTCCCCCTGATGAAAACAGGGGTTGTTATGGTTTAAAAGCTCAACACAATGGATCGGTTTGGGTAATGTGTTTTCTATTGGTTTTACAGGTTTTATATGGCTGTTCCTTAGAGGTATCCCGTGTTATCATTAGCTGGAGGTTTTTAATGTAAGAGTGCTGTCATCCCCCTAAATGAATCTGGCATTCAATTTTCTGGCACCATCATGGTCCTGAAAATGATCTCAGCAGTCTAATGGAGGTGGATCGATACAGATGGATCAGTCTCATACATTTCTTTTTCATATCACAACCAACACCACCTCTGGGAATCTGCATTTATCTCCATATTCAATAATGAGAGGATCCATTTAAGATGTTTTCTCCACTAGTACATACTTGGTTTCAGTTAATTTGCTTTCCGCAGAGTTGCTCACAGCTATGTGGAGTGTTTGTAATTTGAAGGAGATCTGTTGGTAAAATGAGCCATTAGATTGAAATAACAGTGAACAAATGGAAGTCGTGATTAAATTCCTTCCCTTTCCTCTATGGCGGTTGCTCTGTAATAGCTTATATCGTGATAAGCCATCACACATAATACTTCATTTGTGCTCTCTCTGAATCTTCTAAAAGGACACATCTTATTTGGTGTTGTTCCATGTACTTTAAAACTCATTGTGAGAGCAGATCTTTTAATCAAACCATTGCATGTTAGATTGTGTCGCATATTCCAGTGTGTGAATCTTCTCCAGTTGCTCATCTGTAGTCATTTCAGTAACACCTAAATATTATTTGCATTTGATTACACAACTGTGCTGAGATCATTGTCTTTTCGGGGGAGGAGTGAGGTTATGCCGAACAGTAAAATCAGCAGAAATAAAAAGCCTATTTGGTGCTTTTCCTTCTGTACATTGGCTGCCGATCTGTTACATTTGCTCTCTCCCACTGCGTTTTTTTTTCTTTCCTTTTTTTTTCTCCTGTAAACGGTGAAACTCTGCCCCGGAACTGTGACCTGTAGCTCTGCCCTGTGGGAGTATTACATGTCCTATACTCTTCATGGCCTCACCTTTTTTGCCCTCCTACTCCTTTTCTTCTTCTTCTTCTTCTTTCCTTCACTCTTTCGAAGTTGCGGTAGGGGATGGATCTGCCCCCGAGACACAAAGATAAACCCAGGCAAGGCATCTCAGTTCAACTCTAGAGTAGATGTGAATGGCAGGGAACAGAGTGTGTGGTTTCCTTATCAGCATTTTGCTCCAGAAGATTTGTTTTGTATTTAATCGGGTCAGTATTTTGATACACCTCACTTTAAGGGCCAAGCTAGTTTGACTGATGGGTTTGAGTCAGTAGTCAGATTTGAACACTCTCTGTTTGAATTATTTCATTTCTTCAGGATTTTTGGACTGTTTCAGGACTGGATTTTAGTGAATTTATAAGCACTTTTAACTTGTTCATCCTGCCACCATGCCTGTCCGGATTATGTGCACCATCTCCTTTTCTGCCGACGACGAGCCCGACAGAGGATATGGTAAAGACGGTTTTGAAGATCACTACAAGCGGGTGAAGAATAGTTATGGTGGCGGGGACTCGCAGGACTACCTGGATAGGTGTAGTCAAGTGGATGACTGCAATGATGAAGAGGACAACATCAGCGAGGTGGACGACCTGGCCACTTTCTGCGGCGGTTGCTCGCTCCATGGCGCCAACCACGTGTTTGTGGAGAACAAGAAGTTTGGTATTCGCCAGGGTTTGTGGGCATTGGTCTTCATCATGGCCCTGTCCGCTTTCTTGTTCCAGGTAGCTGACAGGATCATGTACTATCTCCAATATGATCGCATCACCCTGCTGGATGAAATGGTGGCCAATAACATGACCTTTCCGGCTGTCACCCTATGTAACTACAACTTTGTTCGGAAGTCTCAGATGAGCTACAGCGACCTGATTTTCATGGGCCCTCTCCTGGGCTTTGAAGAAGGCATGGCACCGGGGTTTCCGCTCGCCCCGGAGCCGGACCGCCAGCCAGGCTCTCGCTTCAGCCTGGATGAGTTCTACAACCGCACTCGACACCGCATGGAGGAAATGCTGCTGGAGTGCAATTTCAAAGGCATAGAGTGTGGCGCTGAGAACTTCAGAGAGGTAGGTTTCACCAAGACCCCACAGTGAGAAAATATGTTTCAAAATGTTTGATCTGTCGGGAACCAGCAAACTCAAAATTGGAAATCATCAGTGCAGGTTGGCACTTCAAGAGGTGTTTTATATGTGTCTGGTAGACTTGATCGTTTTGATTAATTGGTAATATATTGCATATGGGGATATAAAATTTAATGTTGCTCAAAAAAAAGTCAAGAGGAGGCTGCTGGATTTCATCAAGGAGTATCTTCTTTTTGGGTTCATTGTGATGAAATGAGTACACCCAATAAAACCTATTTCTAAAAACTAAACTGCCATGCCAGGATTTTAGCCCTCACTGGTGGAACTTTGTACAAAATCAATGATACGGAAGAAAGAGTTTATTTATTGCTGTGAGGTAATTCAGTTACTCCATTGTAAATAATAAAAAAGCAGACATAATAAAAGCATGTCCCATTACTTAAAGTGCCATACTTGGCATACAGCTGTTGTTATTGAATTAAACGGGCACTGAAAATGTTCGTGTTGCCCAGAGGAAACTTAAGGGCAGCCTCTTTCTGGACACACATTCCCTGAAATTTTGGTAGATTTGTGGCAGCTGCTCTGTGTTCCTTTGAGTGTCAGACAGCACACAAGCAGAATACTGAAGTATCAAGTAGTGTTGACAATAGCCAGCTTTTGGTGTATTGATTTGCTTGACCTTTGCACAGATATGGATAAGTATGGACAGACTGCTAATGGATGTTCTAAAGTTACAAGAGCTGCAATCATATTAGCACTTAAATGCACGTCCATGACACACTGTTCCTGTTTTGACTAACAGACAACACAATGCCTTTGTTAATGTACAATTTATTTTAATAATTTATTATTGCAGTGTTAGTGCAATATACTAACTACTGCAGTGCAGTAGTGGAAGTTGTAGCGATAGTAGTTTCTAGCGCTCTAAATGATTGACAGAAAAGTAATTCTGCAACTTTTTTGACAATTAGTTAATCATTTAAGTAATCTTTTCACTTAAAGTTCACTGGTTGTGCCTCCTAAGCCTCCTTAAATGTCACTATTTTGTGGTTTTCCTAGTCTTCTTTGACAGTAAATTTTATATTTTGGGGTTTTGTTTGTTCATTCACTACAAGGAATCTGAATATTAAAATTCTGTTAAAATCAATGTCATGAGTCTGTCAGAAATATAGATTTAGTTATATAAAAGGGTGTCATAAATTAATTTATTTACATGTCATAGGGATGATTTAAAGGAAAAGGGAAACAGACTGAAATGACATTAAACACTGAAAGCAGCTCTGACATGATGTGGTTGGGAGCTTCTGAAGCAGAAAGTTGCTCCGTGTCAACCAAAACATAAGACTCTGAGTTTGGTGAAATGAAGTTCTTGGATGAGGAAAATGTGAGGTAAATGGAAACAAAAGCTATGAATATGATTGCACCAAGGCAGATTCTCAAGTGGAAGGGTAAATAATTAAAATCAGAGTCTGTTTATTTACTGAGTACATTGTGTGCATGCAAGATGAAATTGATCCTGCAATGAAATAGAACAACTGCCACAGTGAATAATATGATACAGAAAAGAAACAAAAAGCGTCTCCATCATTACAATACAGAGGTATTATTGGCTTGAAGGGATTCTCTTGAACACAACTGGAACACAACTTAATATTACCACAATAGGAGAGTCCAAAATACTGCTTTGACAGCAGAGTACAGATCTTACACTACATATTTTTGTTCAGGTTTTAGTGTCTTACTCAGGCAGAAGTCAAAAATTGCCCAGGTCGGGCGATCAGTATCACAAATGACAAAAGTGGGGTATATAGCCAATGTTCTTGAGGTGAAATAGGGCCAGCTGTCATCCTCTGTTGATATGCTTTTTAAAAGACAAAGTACTGTGACTGCAGTGCAGTCTGCCATTTTATTAGCATGTGAGTGAGGCACTGACCAGGCCTTATTCAATGACAGACATTACTGCCATTGTGCACTTCAAAGCTCATTCTTGCTTTCATAACGTCTTACTTTAAATTAGATGGGTTGCTCCTTAGATCACATTATCACCTTGCACACCTTGGTGAGCCTGTGACAGATTTTTGCATTTAAATCACTAGTAACTGTGTCCTTATAAACCCAATTATTTTCTAGAAGGTGTTATAAAAAATTGTTCTTCTTACACATCACTCACACCTTATTGCTTCAGTTATGCTTTAGGCCGCTTTTTTTTTAGTAAGATACAAGAAGCTTATTTGCTACATCTGTTTAATATGTTAATACCTGACAGTGTCTTTGTAAAAAGACATTAAAGAGAAGTTAAACGCTGTGAGTAAAATGGTGTGTGCACGCCTGCAGGTTTCATGGGCAGTTGTTACTGCAGTAAGGCTAAAGATCTGACAAACACAAGTGACAAGTAATCATTTCTTTGTCAGGACTAATAGGACTAATGAGCGCTTGTCAATTTAACTTGAATCCTTCTACATTACAGCCTCCCACTAATAAATCATTGATTGTCCATTCAGCTCAGGCACCTCCATGCAGCAATTATAAACTGATGCTTTCCCACTGTTTTGTTTCTCAGTTTCTAAAGCAACTATAAAATGTGTTTTGTGTTGCTTGAAAATGTTATGTTAATACCCAGCTATCCCTTGTAAGATAATTAACCGCTGCTTACAAAACAACTATTTTTCTTCCCGTTGTGTTGTTTGATTATTTAAACTGTGTATTATATAAACTGAGATATTTGAAGTTACCATGGTATATATGGTGTTTCATTTCAAAATCAAAGATGAAGGGCATCTATGAATGTTTTGAAATCCATGCAGTGTTTACCTTTAGTAGCAATGCAACCACACATAGTATGTTTTTGTTTGAGGGCAGCACATAGCAGTGCCTCTACAGTAGATAAACCTTGATGTTCCCTAGTTTATCATTCTCATACCCGCAATGTGCCTATTATTGATTAAAAGCAATATGTGTTGTCAAAGAGCATTCTGGGAAATCACAAATTGAAGTAAACACAGATCAGGTAAGCTGGGGGAAGAGAACACAAACAAGACTAGCATTATCGCTAATAGGTTAGTTTTCCCCTTGTGGCATGTAGGAAAGGCTTGGTCATATCTACAGAGCAGGCTGACTCACTTAACAGCGTGCATTATGTATTTCTGTTACACTTTTCTTCTGAACAGCAAATCGATAGAGTGTATTTATTTTGCGTAATGTGATAATTGGCAGCGCCACTGGTCCAAATGTCGGAAACGCTGAACTCCTGCTAGTGCCTGTTTATTATATCTACTGAAGAGCCACTAATGGTCCCACAGACTCTTTTTGTTGGTGTATTGAGAAGTGGCAGTACAGGGAGGTGAGCTGATTGATTGCTTTCTGTCCCTCTTACTCTCTGGGGCTTTCTGTCCCTTCCTCCTCTCTCGTCTCTGTCTGGTGTTTGTGCATGTGAAAGTATGTTCCAGTGTGTCTATCTGTGTATGTGTGCACACTGAGATGAGCTCTGGCTTTGGGCTGGGTCAATACTGAAGCTTGGCTAATGCCCTGCAGCTATTCGGTTCAGGTTGCAGCAATTCTGTCCCAGAGCAGAATGTGAGCCCCCATCAGAGCAGTGATCCAAATCCCTGCTTCCTGCTCCATCCCTAGCCCATTAGCCACAGCTTGCCTTTCTCCCAAGCTCAGCATTGTCAACAGAATCAGCCAGTGGCTCTGGTTACGCCCTTCTCCTTTCTCCTCAAGAACATCAGTCTGTATACTCCAGGCTCAGGCTCGATCAGACAGACAGATAGACAGACAGACTGTGAGGGAATGTTTTCAGAGAAAGGAAAATGAAAATGGCAGAGCTGGCCTCACCATCTGGCTCTGAGCTGTAAATACTTGTCATGGTTCAGCACTTCTTTTAAGCAGCCATCGGGAAGAGATTGTATCAGGGAAAGTGTAATGTAATTATCTTCAAGCATATGCCATGATAAATTAGATGTTACTAAATGATCTTTTAAAAAAGTGTGCAGTAGATTATACAGTAATATGTGTTCCACCAACACAGAACAAAGACTAACTGACTATAGCACTGCCAACATAGAGCATGTGCCGAATTCAATTTGTTCTTGTTCCTTTGTGGTGCAACAGTTTCTCAACACCTTGTGCAATTAGGCTAATTAAACTGTCACTTTTCAGATGGAAATAGATTTTTGTGCCTTTGTTTGTAATATGTAGTCATTTTGTGATTTATTTTATATTCCGTTGTGCAAGCCAAATGCGTTCTTTGGAGCTTGATCTATGTTTGATTCTTGCGGTTTCATTAGTTGGTTTGAAGTTCAGATCCATCAGGGCAATACTAGCACAACAACCCAGAAGCATTGTTAAAATTACATGCGTCTGTGCTGAACAGCAAACACTGCCGAATGTTGACAGTTAAGTTGTTTCTCTTCCCCTGCTACGCCTGACCCCGTCTGAGCAAATTGGACTCAAAATAATGGGTTAGGGAAATTAGTTTGATTAAGCACAAGTATAGGCTCGGTCAGAAAGTGGACGTTGCAGTGTCTGAGTTTCAGAAAGCTTGAACCGCTGAAATGCCTCCTCCCCTCTGAGAGGTGACAGCCAAGGGCAATTAAATATTTATGGTAACACTGAAATTCAGATAGCTGTCTGTGACTTTCTCTCATCTTCTCCGGCCATTATTAGCTGTTTTCACATCAGAAGTTCAGAGGTGCCCTCTTTTATGCATAGCTATAGCTTATCACAATCACATTTTATCATGATTCTGTGAGTGTAGAGCTTGAAAAATAAATTAGATGTTTTTTTGTAATTTTGCATTCACTTTTGTCCTAAATTATATCTAATGCATGTCAGGAAGGCTTCTCCTCTTCTAATCTCCATTTAAAAGAGTGATGATCTAATGAGTGAAATGGGTACCACTTAACCTCATCTACTTTGTTTTCAAGGCTTTCCAGCAATTCATTTTGCTTGCCAGCATGGATTACTCCACTTTTGCTGGCATGCAC